GCTGCTGCTGCTGACGCTGCTGCTGCTGCTGCGCCCGCGCCCGCGCCCGCGCCCGCCGCCGCCCCTGCTGCTGCTGCTGCTGCTGCTGCGCCAGCAGCAGAAGCCGGCTCGGACTTCAGCATCAACAGGTCGAACTTCATTCTCGAAAACGCAGGAAAGATCCAAAGTCTCTACGACATCGACCCCACAACTCTGGGATCGGGAACGTACGGGAGCGTCTCCAGAGCCATCCGCAGATCCACGGGAATGCAGCGAGCAGTCAAGACCATCAGCAAAGCCCAAGTCCGAAGCATCGAGCGCTTCCGCAGGGAAATCGACATCATGAAAAGCCTGGTGAGGCCGCAGCAGCAGCAGCAGCAGCAGCAGGCGCTGCTGCTGCTGCTGGTGGTGGTGGTGGTTCTGGGAACGGTGGCGTGGGAGCAGCAACGGCAGCAGCAGGCGCTGCTGCTGCTGCTGCTGCTGCTGGTTCTAGGAACGCTTGCGTAGAAGCAGCAACAGCAGCAGCAGGAGCTGCTGCTGCTGCTGCTTTTAGGAACACTTGCCTAGAGGCAGGAACAGCAGCAGCGGGAGCTGCTGCTGCTGCTGCTGCGTCTAGGAACACTTGCTGCAGCAGATTCGGGGGTGATGTATGGGGGTGTGTTTGGGGTGTATGTACAACGTGGGGCCCCGTTGCTGCGGCTTCGCGGCAGCTGTTTGTCCACTTTTTGTATTTATTTCATTTTTGGTTTCTTGTTTTCTTTCAGGATCACCCGAATGTGGTGAAACTATTTGAGACATTTGAAGACCACAGAAACATTTATCTCGTCATGGAGTAAATCACCACAAGTTGATTGTTTTTGAATTTCTTTTGTTGAATTGCTCTTGTTGAATATTTACTGGATATCCTTTCTTGAAATTCTTTTAATTTCTTTTTTTGAATAACTCTTGTTGAATTTCTTTTGAATTTCTTTTGCTGAGTCCTTTTATTGAGTATCTCTCGTTGGATTTCTTTCGTTGAATATCTGTTATTGAATGGCTGTATTGAATTCTTTTTGTTGAATTTCTTCTGTTGATTTTCTTTTATTGATATCCGCGTATTGAATTTCTTTTCTTGCAAAGACTGCACCAAAAGTGTCTTTCTTTGTTCTCTTTAGCTACCAAGTCAATAGAAAGTCTTCTTTGTTCAAATTTTATTTTTTGAATTTTTTAAAAATATATTCCTTGAACTCAATGTTTGGCTAAGAGAACAGAAGTGGCTGTTGCTGGTTGTTTGCAACTTTTATTTTAATCTTCTTTATTTTGCTTTCTCGTTGCTTTTGACGAGTAGAGACTCTTGCATTTATTGGAAACATTTGCAAGTATTATTATTGCTTTAATTAAACTTATTTTTGTTTTTTTAACTTTTGTTTTTTTGTTTTTTGGTTTTGCAAATTCAGATTGTGTGAAGGCGGCGAGCTGTTTGACCGCATTATTGCAGAAGGTCACTTCACAGAAAAAAGAGCAGCACTTTTAATGCGACAAGTCTTTTCTGCTGTTAATTATTTGCACTCCAACCACATTATGCACCGGTGGGGCTCTGCAGCAAAAGCAGTTCATTTGCTGCACTTGCTGCAGCAAAAAGGAGTCCTTTTGCTGCACTTGTTGCAGAAAAGAGAAGCGCTTTTGCTGCAGTTGTTGCAGCAAAAAGACTTCCTTTTGCTGCACTTGTTGCAGCGAAAAGAAATTCTTTTGCTGCACTTGTTACATCAAAAAGAAATTCTTTTGCTGCACTTGCTGCGCATGCACAACGCAGAAAGCTGCACGTGTGCTTATTTGCATGCATGCAGCTGCTGCATGCATGCAAATGTAGTTTCTGGCGTTGCTGCTGCTCAGATCTCTGATCGGGCTGCTGCAAAGCATGCAGACGCATGCAGTTCATGCAAATGCACGCAATGCATGCAAAAGCATGCAGTGCATGCAAAAGCATGCAGTGCATGCAACTGGTGTTTGCGACTCTGCAGGGATTTAAAACCCGAAAACTTTCTCTTCTTGAGCACCGCGAGAGACAGCCCTCTAAAGATCATCGACTTCGGACTGTCTTGCCGCTTCAAGCCGGGGGAGTTCGTTTCCACGAAGGCCGGCACGGTGAGCAGCAGCAGCAGCTGCAGCTGCAGCTGCAGCAGCTGCAACAGAGTTTTGTTCGCGTCGTGTTGCAAAAACTAAAGGGCGCAACTAATGCAATTGAGTGTTAATATTGTTATTTGTTTTTCGGTCTTTAGTGTTTTTTATTGTGGGATTATTTTGGATTTGGGAAGTTTGATTTGCAATTGATGAAATGCCGCATTCAACTCTTTTCGTTTGCGCGTAGTCTGCGGAGGCAGAATGCAGCAGCAAAAGTGCCAATACGAAGTGATTTGCACTTCAGTTTTAATTGATTTGTCATTGCATAAACGTTTAATTCAACTTTCTCGCATTTCCACCTGTGGAAGTTCTGTTTCATGTTTCGTGGGTGTTTTCTGAATTTCCCGCGATCTGGAGTTTTCTGTTTGCTTTTCTTGGTTCTTCGTTTCTGTTTTTACTTGGCATTAGAGGTATTAAGGAAGATTTGCATGCGGCATCACGAAAGTAGAATTTGTGGAATGGGTTTTGCCTGAACGGACACCCCATTTGAGTCCACCTGAGTTATAATCCGCATTCGATTCCCTGTCCACCCACTGCATGCAACAGAAGAAACGGGTAGCATCTGCCGCACGAGCGAACCCTTACTTCCGCACAGCAGCACCCGCTGCAGCAGCAGCAGCAGCAGTCTGCGCCCTCTGCAGCATCCGCCGCACAGCGTCCGCAGCCCGCCCCCTCTGCAGCGGCCCGCGTCAGCAGCAGCTGCCTGCCCCTCCGCAGCAGCCCGCCGCAGCAGCCGCGCGCCGCAGCAGCACCAGCGCCAGCAGCAGCAGCAGCAGCAGGTGCGTGTGCGCTGCAGCCGTACTACGTGGCCCCGCAGGTGCTCGAGGGCCGCTACGACTACCGCTGCGACGCCTGGAGCCTCGGCGTGATTCTCTACATTTTGCTTTGCGGCTTTCCGCCCTTCTACGGCGACACCGACGCCGAAGTCCTCGCGCAAGTCAAGGCGGGCGCGTACTCTTTCGCGGGCCCGGAGTGGCGGCGCGTCTCGGACGAGGGCAAAGACCTCATCCGCAGGCTGCTCAAGATCAACCCCGACGTGGGGCGAGGCCCTCTTTTAGGGTTTAGGGTTTGGGGGCGGGGGGTTCGGTTTGGGGGGGGGGTCGGGTTCGGGGGGGTCGGCGGTTTCGGCTTTGGGGGGGTCAGGGGGGTTGGGTCTTCGGGGAGGGGTTGGGCTTCAGGTGGCGGGGAGGGTTTAGGGTTTGGGGAGGAGGGTTTGGGGTTTAGGGGTTGGAGGGGTTTGGCGTCGGCGTGGAGGGTTGCGGGTGTAGGGTTTGGAACGAGTAGTAGGGTTTGGGGTTTTGTCCCTGGAGGCGCAGCGCGTAGGGTTTGGGCGGCGCGGCGGGCGAGCGTTTGCCGCTAGGGTTTAGGGTTTAGGGTTTAGGGTTTTGTCTTTTTTTCAGGAGCGACTGTCCGTGGAAGATGCTCTCCACCATCCCTGGATGATGAGTCTAGCCCAGAGCAGCCAGAATGTGCCTTTGCCTGTGACCCTCATGGCGAACCTCAAGGTAAGGGCTTAGGGTTTAGGGTTTAGGGTTTAGGGTTTAAGGTTCAGCTGTTGCCGGGAAGCGCACAACCAACGGCGGCGGCGGCGGCGGCCAATGCTCGGAAACTGCCTTGTCAAGCCAGGACCTAGGGTTTAGGGTTTAACCTGCAGGGCTTAGGGCTTAGGGTTTAGGGTTTAGGGTTTAGGGTTTAGGGTTTCCGGTGTTTTAAACAGGGTTTCCGTGCTCAAAACCGGCTCAAGAAGGCGGCCTTGACAGTCATCGCGCAGCACATGACGGACTCCGACATAGACCATTTGCGAAAGATTTTCATTTCTCTTGACGTCGACAACTCCGGCACTTTGTCCGTGCAGGCAAGTGGTCCACTGGTCTGCTGCTGCTGCTGCTGCTGTTGCTGCTGCTGTTGTTGTTGCTGCTGCTGCTGCTTCTGCTGCTGGTGTTGCTGCAGCTGCTGCTGCTGCTGCTGTTGTTGCTGCTGCTGTTGCTGCTGCTGCTGCTGGTGCGCGGTGGCTCGAGTGACGCAGGGGCAGCGCGGGGCTTCTTGGCCGGGGGTTGCGGGTTCGAGACCCAGCGGGGGTTTTTGAAAAGATATAGAGATAAATAGAGGGTTTTGTAATTAGGGTTTTGGTGGTTTTAATTTAATGGTCTTATTTTTGTTTTCGGAGTTGTGCATGCGTAGACACTTTTGTGGTTTGCAGTGCTGTACTGCTGGCAGAAAATGGGGTGCAGGGCCCCTTCAAACCTTATTTTAGGGTTTAGGGTTTAGGGTTTAGGGTCTAGGGTTTAGAATCTAGAGGCTGGTTCAGGGTGGTTTCAAAAGCATGTGCAGCAGCAAGGTTTCGCAGAGATAACAGCTCAATTAATCCCCGACAGTAAAGCACTAGGCGTTCTAGGGTTTAGGGTTTAGGGTTTAGGGTTTAGGGTTTGGGTGTGGGTGGCTGCAGGAAGTGGCCGAGGGCCTGAAACGTCTTGGCTGGACAGAAATCCCTGCAGACTTGCAGGCGATCATGGAAGATGTGGACTCAGACAAATCGGGACACATTGACTACACCGGTGAGTCGCTAATTCAGGGTTTAGGGTTTAGGGTTTAGGGTTTAGGGTTTGGGGTCTAGGTAATCCTTGCTGCAATTAAGCCGCTTTTCAACTGTAGGTGCTCTTGGTTTTGGCTGCTCGTGTGTCATTCGAGTCTTCAGTGGATATGCTTGGGTCTAGGGTTTAGGTTTTAGGGTTTAGGTATCAATAATATACTCCTGAAATTAATCATTTATTCTGTTTCGTTTTGCCTGCAGAGTTCATCGCCGCAACGATGGACAGAAAACTTTACATGAAAGAAGATGTTTGCTGGGCTGCCTTCAGAGTCTTTGACTTGGTAAACCCTAAACCCTAAACCCTAGACCCTCAACCCTAACTGCACAACCTGAGGTACATATATTATGTATACATATGTAGATATGTGTATTTAATACTTTTGATCTATGCAAATTATTCATGTAATATTCATATTTTTTGTAATTTTTTGTTTTTCATATTATTTGCAATTCAATTGTGGGAGTGTCTAGCATGCAGTGCATCGCGGCATGCATGCATGCATGCATGCATGTGCATGCATGCATGCATGCATGCATGCAGAGTTAAAGGCTTTTTCCTTTTTTGAAAAAACCGAAGCTCGCGAATTTCTCGCCGTTTTGGCGCGTGCATTGTTCGTGAGAATTGCGGTCATCAGTTCTTCCAGTATTTATTATTTATTTATTCATTTATTTATTTATTTATTTATTTATTTATTTGTTTTCAGGATGGCAACGGGAAGATCTCGCAAGACGAGCTGCGCCAGGTGCTGGGAATGCCCAAGGTGCAAGGGGCTGTGGGCAGCGAGACGATAGCTGCGTTGCTGAAGGAGGTGGACTTGAACGGCGACGGAGAGGTCGGATCCTCGGGAAAGCTGCGTTTAAAAGCGGAAAACAACTTCAGATTGAACTTATTTATCATTTATTCATTTATCCTCTCTTTTATTTCTCTTTTTGGGCTTTTGTTTCGCGCTTTTTCAAGTCTTTTCGCCTTTTTTCAAAGACAGCCGACCCATGCACTCTACCCGCAGCTGGCGGAATGCAGCAGCAACAGGCGAAAGCGCTTTAAAAGCCCCGTTTATTCTTCATTCACTTAATTAATCAATTAATTAATCAATTAATTAATTTATTTATTCTTTCTTGTTTTTTTTATTTGGTGAATGCAGATCGACTTTGAGGAGTTTATGCACATGATGCGGAAACGAACTCCCGGCGAAGCGCAGCAGAGAGAACCGAAAAAGAAGAGCAGCAAATGAAACAAGAAATAAATAAAAGGAAAAATAAAGGGAAAAAGAAAAAGAAAAGAAGAGAAAACAAATGATATATAAATGAATAAATAAGTCCCAGGTACTGGCAAACCCCCCCTTGTTTGGCCGCGGCATGCGGCGACGCAGCCACTTAAGCAACATAAATTAACTTAATTGAATTTATTTATTTAATTTTATTTATTCTGAAACAAATTAAAATGTTAATTCTACGGAAATAGGATTGGGGGCCCCTGGCGGCCCCCACGCGCTGGAGCAGCGGAGAAGGGGGCCCCAGGAGACTGTGATAAAGCAGCACATCTTAAGTAATGCAGAAGCAGCAGCAGCAGCAGCAGCAGCAGCAGCTGCAATTGTTGCAATAGAAAGGAGAAGCGCTGCGGCAGAAACAGCTGCAGCAACGGCTGCAACGGCAGCAACCGCTGCTGCAACTATAGCTGCGGCAGCAGCTGCAGCAAAGAGCTGCAGGAAGGAGCAGCAGCAGCAGCCGCAGCAGCAGCAGCAGCTGCTGCTGCTGCTGCTGCTCCTGCTACTGTTTTTGGTACGGCCGACTTACTGGCTGCGGCCGCGCCCTTTGGTTTGGCGTTTCTACAGAGTAATATATTTATATTTTTGATTCTTTTTCTTTTCTCGTTTATTTTGTTTTATCATTATTCATCCATTTATTTCTTTTTGTTTGCTGCTGCCTTTCCAACACAGCAGCAGCAGATTTCGAAACTTATTCTTTTTCTCTGCTCCGGCCCCACAAGTTTGACTGCAGCAGCAGCAAAATGCACAATTCACTTTAATTTGAATTAAATCTTTTGCATAATTAAAAAAAAAGATTAAATTGCAAAAAAGAGTTAGTCTGTACACCCGAAGGCTGCGGTGTATGTACACTCCACTAAACGCTCCCGCAAAGTAAACGCGGAAAGCACTGCTGCAGCTGCTGCTGCTGCTGGCCTTGTTGCTGCAGCGCCGTTACTGCTGCTGCTGCTGGCCTTGCTGCTGCGGCGCAGCTGCTGCAGCTGCTGCTGGCCTTGCAGCAGCAGCAGCAGCAGCTCCTACAGCTGCTGCTAGCCTTGCTGCAGCAGCAGCAGCTGCAGCAGCAGCTGCTGCTGCTGTGTACACCGTTAGGGAAACTGGAAACCCTAAACAAATAAAAAAGAATTAAACAGCACAAGCATCTGTGACAAGCCGCAGCAGCGGGCTGTGCTCGGCCAGCAGCTGCTGCTGCTTCGCGGGGTCTGCTGCTGCTGCTGCTGCTGCTGCTGCGGGTTGCTGCTGC